ATGTGCAGTGTGGGGCCAGCCTGGCAGTGTAGTGGTTAAGTTCACGTGATCCACTTCAGCATCCTGGGGTTCACAGGTTTGGATCCTGGGTGTCGACCTACATGCTGTACATCAGGCCATCCTGTGGCAGCGCCCCACATACAAAAAATATAGGAAGACTGGCATGGATGTTACCTCAGGGACAATTTTCCTCAAACAAAAGGAGGAAGACTGGCAACAGATGTTAGCTCAGGGCCAATCTTCCTCACACACACACACAAAGTATGTACATGATCTTAACTAGTTATAAAATACTATTTAATAATGAAAACAGTAAATGAAGGTAAAAAGAGCATGGAATTGCTCAAAGTAACTCAGCATATCAGTAACAAAATCAGGACCCAAAATTGTGTTCTCTGAACATGAATTCAACCCTCTTTTCATGAAATTAAATAACACTTTGTGAATCTGATCAAACGTGAAGTCTGAATGAATCTCTTCACTTTAACTCAGTTTTGGTATAGCGATGTTTTCTTATGTCATAAAAAGCTGGTTTGTTCTGTCATTTTAAAGATCTATTGGACATGGTGCATTATGCTCATGTCTTTCTCTATTTTACTATGTGCTCATATCCTGAACTCTTCATTCATATGGACACCTTCAGTGCTAAGGGTATTGAAACACATGAGGATTCTTCCTCAAAGACCTTAACTTCTAAGAAAAGCTTACAGTCTTAGGTTGATTTCACCGTCTGTGTTAGGAAATAGGCAAAATTCATATTGCTGAATTTTTCACTGCTTAGGATAGATTGAATTGATCTTTTTGCCACAACTTTCAATAAAATTGTGTGTCCCCATTCTCAACCTCGAAACACCTTTTGTCTATGGATCCCCAGAGATTTCTGAGACAGGCAGAGTAAAGCAAAATAGTGTAGAAAAAAAGATAAGGAAGACACTCAGAAAACAAAAAGGAACCAAATGAATTGGAGCTCACAAATTCTGCATAGTCTGTATACATACAAGTTATGCAGCCCATTTATTATATGGTGTATGATTTGGTCTATGGTACATTCTTTGTTATCCTTTCTACCAGCAAATGTCTTGTTAGTCCTGCTCCACCTAATAAGTAGTATTTTCTTTCCTCTGTTTGAAGAAAAAAATCTAATATTTTCTGCTCCACAGTTTGTGAAGAATCTCCTCCTTCTTCCTTCAAGTGTGTGGCTTGTCCCTTATAATAGCAATGCTTACCATCATAATCCACATTCTTTTATAACTCTTCTTGAAATACGTATGCTTGTATTACACGCCAAAAAAGAAGGAACAAAACACTCAACTAAACAAAAAAATGTTTTAAATTAATTGGCTGATAGTGTACTGATATTTTGTGTTCTAGCATTGAAATCTTGTAAAGACAAGGTTGATGTTGTTACCACATACAAACATAGTTTCCTACCTGCCACACAAGAAGGGCCAAATAAAAACTAGAACAGCAGGCTTATGGCAAGGAAAGGGATTTGATTTCACATGATATTAGCCAGAAGACGAGAGTGAGCCTTCAAATTTGTCTTGTTTTGTCTCATCTCCCCAAAAGAGTGAGGCAAGAGGTTTTAAAGGTTTGTGAGGAATGTGGCTGCTTGTAGAGAGGTGGGGGAGTCAGTGGCCCTGCTGGTTGGAGCTTTCCCACCAGCCTGCTTTCCATCTTTGGAGGCTGTTTGCAGGGAGGAGGAAGAGATGATAAGGAATCCAGGTGGGTGACCTTGGCCGTTTGTCTCCATGGTGGATAGTGGATTCTGGAGCCAGGGAGCCAGGGAGTAAGCAGGGAATGAGTGCTTTGGTTTTTAACCCCATATATTCTGGGTTTAGGGTAGGGAAACCCATGTCAGGGCTGGCATCAATGTTAAAAATGGCAATTTAGAGAGAAGAACAAAGAAGTGAAATTGTTATTTTTTCCCTGGATATTGCAAACATGAGTGAAGGGTTGAAGGCTTTTGTTTTGAAAAATCTGCAACCATTTAATTAATCTTAAGTTTGAGAATGTGCTGCTTTTTAAACTATATTTTAAAATAATTTATTTGCCTGTCATAAAATATATATGACTTATTTACATTTTGTCTAAAGTTCACTTAGCTGTGAACTCCAAAAATAGATGTGAACAATGCAATAGGTCATATGTAAATTGGAAAATTACATCTTCTTATTAACAAAACATTTTATAATATGACCTTCGGGCTGCTGCCAGCTTTTAAAGTTGCAAAGTTCTGCCTGAATAACTAACAACACTCTGATAATCACTCCAAAGCATCTGCTGATTGCACTTATTTTTCTTGTAAGGCTTTGAAATCATTGGTCCATCTAGAAAATGGAAGTGCCTCTGATATAATTGGTCACATGACATGGCATAATATCTTTATCCATAGATATTGTCCACTTTAATTTCTGCTCAACTGTCCAAAATCCTTTATATAGTTTCAATTTTGAACTCTAAGGAAATATGCTGAATATAAGCAAAAGTTGTTTCAAACAAAAAGAATAATAGCAATTTATTGTTTGCTGAATCTAGCAAGGGTTTTTTATTGCTTATTGTATTTCATAAAGTATTTTCAAGTACATTATGCCATTTAGTGGCTGCAAAGTCTTTGACGGAGACAAGACAGTATTTTACTATTATTAAAGATAAGGAAACTGAGTCTTAGTGTTCTAGTATTTTTGTCCATGTTCAGAGTGATGTTGGGACTCAAACTGTCATGTTTACACTCAGCTTAAATGTTGAAGCTAATCCTTGTAGCTCATCTTCTATGAATCATGTTTTGCTTTCTAATATTTGCAATAAATCCCCAAGCTTCAAAATAATGTTTCTATTTAAACTCAAGCCTTTTTAATGTCTTTCCAATTCAAACATCACCTGGGCCTGCTTTCTCAGAAAAGGTCTAGTTCAACAAGCATTTGCTGTGTCCTTTGTACACCAGAAACTGTGTTAGGCGTAATGATTCATGCTACTTCTCAAATGCTAGACAAGTTATATCAGTACCAACTGGAAACTGGAAAAAACCAGCAATTCCAGACTTCATTCTGAGCCAGGCAATTAGAATTCTAGGTTAGAGCATGTGGATGTGTCTAGTAACAACTCTCAATAATCTGATCAAGCGCTAAGTTTGCAAAAACTAAAATAAATTAAAAAATTAAATTAAAAAGAGCTAAGATTGCAAGCAGTGTGAAAGGACAAAGCAGATCTCGATCCGGATCACAGGATCACCATTAAATGTGTAGTGTGGGGTCATGATTAAAATGCTTTCATAGCGCAATTTCTTTATTTACGATGTAGGAATAATAATAGATGTAATAAGCCATACAACAAACAACTTCCTCCCTAAAATGGTTAAATAAGTTTGGTAGTAAATAAGATGAAGGATCTTAATTGCTTTGACCACAGACAGCATTTGTGTTAGTTTACGAGGGCTGGCATAACACAATACCACAGATTGAGTATCTTAAACAACAGAAATTCATTTTTTCACAGATCTGGAGGCTAGAAGCCCAAGATCAAGGTGCCAGCAGGTTTGGTTTCTTCTGAGCCTTCTCTCCATAGCTTACACTTGCTACTTCTTCACAATGTCTTTCCTCTGCTGGCATACCCCTGGAGTCTACATGTGTGTCCTAATTTCCTCTTATTGTAAGGACATTAGTCAGACTGGATTAGAGCCCATGCTGAGGGCATAATTTCAACTTCATCACCACTATAGAGGTGCTATTTCCAAATATAGTCACATTCTGAAGTACTGGACATTTGAGATTCAACATATAAATTTTGAAGACACAATTCAGCCCATAACAGCATACAGTGGAATTTCAATTGTCTCAGATTTTGCCCTATTTCCTACTCCCTTTTACCTGACTCACCAGTCTCTCACAACCCCTGTGTCTTCTCAGTTCCACTTGCTGTCCTGAAGTCCGTTTCTTTAGCAAACCTGATAACCTAAAAGCTTGTTAATGAGGATGAATTTGTGTATTGATGCTTCTAGGTAACATATTTGCATAAGCAAGAAGGCAAGAGAGTTTGATTTCTTTACAGGAGAGTGAGTAGGGTCAAGATTTCTGGTGTAGCCCAAATAAAAATGGAGATCGTTTCTGAGAGTTAGACGTTTTGATGCTCTTCAAATCTATCACATGGACAGCTGCATGTTTGAACTATACCTAGATACCTAGATGTGGACCTGAATCTGTGTGATTTTATGAGTCGGCTTTTTTACCATTTCTATATTCTGGAAAATAAAATAATAAATACCATTGAAATCTGACATTTTAAAATTGTATCACCTTGTCCTTCTGCAGAGAATGTTTGTGCTTTATAATTTGTGTGTCCTTTACTTCTAGCTTTCAAATTTTTCAAACAGATGTGTTTCTGCTTCCTTTTCTTGCTATCAACTTTAGTGATGAAAAAGAATTTTTCCTCACTGTTTGCTTATATTCTCCTCAGCGAGAATTCCATCCCCCCAAAAAACAATTCAGGAAGTATTAATGCAGTTTTTCTTGTTGGGTCTGAAATTCTTTAGTGCTGTACACTTCTTGATAAATTATTATTAAGACTCCATAACTGATTCTGCTTTCTATCAGAACTTTTAGCCCTTGTGTGCCATCTGCAAGACATTTCTAAAACACGCTGTCTGGAAGAAATCCAATAAAAAGGAGCCTGTATGTCAACTTGACAGTTATTCTTTAGAAATGCCTATGGAAAATGCAGGCATTTTTCTTCATTTTTCCCTTTTGAAAAATGAGTTAAATTAATCTCTCATGCACAGTTTTAAACCTTGTTTCATAGTTTCACTTAATTCAGAGAAATTTTCCTTCAAAATTCTACAAAGGAAAATGGCATTTAAAGTTTCAAGTTGATCAAGAATTAATAGAAATTTTAATAGCTTACATAGGTCTTTTCCATAATTTTTATTAGCTAAGAAGTGTGAAAGTGAAAATTTCTACCAGTTTGTCAATGACTCTTGTTTTGGTTCAATGTCTTGATATTTGCAGGGATGAAGAACCAGGCGGCCAGCTGGTTACAGATAAATTCCATATTGACTGGGATTCAGTACTTGTCGACACAGATAACGTCATCCTAGCACGATTTGATGGTAGAGGAAGTGGATTCCAGGGCCTGAAAATTTTGCAGGAGATCCATCGAAGGTTAGGTTCAGTGGAAGTAAAGGACCAAATAGCAGCTGTGAAGTAAGTGGGAGCACATTTTCCTATTGTTTTTCCCATAATGACAGAAGTTAAGTATTTGATATATGATGCGGGATCGGTGAGCCGAGGAGTCGAAAGAAAGATTTCTTAGACTCTCAAGATCTGGCAGTAGTGCTCTTTTATTTAGAGAATAGTGTGGAATAGCATGGGGACAGGACCCACGGGCAGTCAGAGCTTCTGCTGCCGCCGCTTCTGCTGCCCCCGCTGGCATGGGGACAGGACCCATGGGCAGGCAGAGCTGGTGCATGGGGACAGGACCCACGGGCGGTCAGAGCTCCTGCTGCTGCCCTGAGTTGAGGGTTAGGGCTAATTTTATAAGGCATGGGTACGTGACTTATTTTTACTGGAAAAAGAAAAGATGATGTAAAAAGTCATTAAATGATTTCAGTGCAGATGGGGTCTGGTTATTGTGCAGTCATATAACTTTAGATACGAATCTGGCCATATAGATCGGCATGTAGGTGAGGATGCCCTGGGCTTCTCTCCCTGGGGCAGGTCTAATTCATACCATAAAAAAAAGTCCACTGGGTCATATAGTTTGGCATGTAGGCCAGGTCACCTTGGGCTTCTCTAGCTGGGGCAGCCTTAATCCACATCAATATATACTACTGCTCAATAGTGACTCAGAGGTTTGTATTTTAGTGATTGGACAATTTTCTAAGTTAATCATATAGACTATTGCATTTTTTTTTCAAGTATATTTTACTCCTACTGCCATGATAAAAGAATTATACTTCCCCTGTGGAATTAGAATTCATTTTGGATTTATCAAAATGAGAAAGATCTTAATTATACCACTGCATTATTTATTTATAATAATCCACAATGTCTATTATTTCCCTAGTTAATTAACAGTTCTTGAGCGTCACAGATACCATTACCACACTGCCATGAAAAAGTGGCCTGAGAACTCTAGTAAGTGCTTTAAAACAGTACATAGAAACTGGCTAGGATATTGTTAAAATGTAAATGTTGACTCAGGATGCTTGGAATGGAGCCCAAGATTCTGCATTTGTATCAAGCTGACAGCTGATGCTAACTGCTGGATCCTCACTTTGATTATCAAGGTTTTGGAATACATGACCCTTCTACATGAATACAGTTGAAACCACAAAAGTATTTCTAGTTTGACTTCTGGTTACTTTGGTGCCAAGAATGAATCCCCATGTGCATTTGACTCAAAAAGATAAAGTGTATACATATATATGTTTTTTTCTCATTGCAGATTTCTATTGAAACAGCCATACATTGACTCCAAAAGATTAAGCATTTTCGGAAAGGTAAATAGTGGAAAAATTGTGTGTACATATATGTATGTATATGTATGTGTGTGTTGTATGTGTTTATATGTATACATATGTAATTACTTTCCTCATTTTACTATAATTTCTCTGTTATCCTTTAAAATGTAATATTATAATTAATATTATATATAGTCATTTATTAATTCAGTGACTATTGAGTACCTAATTAGTGCCTGGTATTAGAAATAGAGCAACAACAGGACAAAAAAAGGCCTCCATTGGCATGAAGCTTACCTTCTAGAGAGGAGAAACAGATAATAAACAATAAATGAAAAACATAGCTATTTAAGTGCTAACGGGGGCCTTCTACTCACCGCAGGATGAGCCAACCGTCAAGAGGCAAGCTGGTAGGAGAGAAAAGGTCTTTCTGTTACAGCTTGCCAGCAAGAGGGAAAATGGCAGACTAGTGTCCTAAAGAAACATCTTAAAACTACACAATTTTCCCGAAGGTTACTACATCCCTGGAAAAGCTGAAAGAACAGTTATTGCCTTATTGGAATAGGGAGGTCTATGTATAAGCCAAGGCCATGAAAATAACAGAGCAAGCAGATGTGTACTGCTCTAAGCTATGTGCAACCTCCAGCATTGCTAACAAGGAAAAGGCGGTGTCTTATGGATCAGGGTTATTTATAGTCCTAACATGGTTCCCCTCTATAAGATGGCTTCCCTTATATTAAGCTATGTTAACTATTGGCTGCATTTATCTTAGCTATTTAGGTAGCACTAACAGTTTCACATGATAAGAAGTCTCATAAGGGGGGCTGGCCCCGTGGCCGAGTGGTTAAGTTCGCGCGCTCTGCTGCAGGTGGCTTAGTGTTTCGTCAGGTCGAATCCTGGGCGCGGACATGGCACTACTCATCAAACCACGCTGAAGCAGCGTCCCACATGCCACAACTAGAAGGACCCACAACTAAAATATACAACTATGTACCAGGGGTCTTTGGGGAGAAAAAATATAAATAAATAAATAAATAAATAAAAACCTTTAAAAAAAAAGTCTCATAAGGAAAACAAACAAACAAAATCAATGGATGAAAGTTAACTGCAGGAAGGGTCAATGGTATTAGATTGAGTGGTCAAGTAAGGCCCCGCCAATTAAGTGATATTTAAACTGATGTCTAAATAACAAAAGGGAGCCAGTCATGCAGATCTCTTAAGGCACAGCAGCAACAGCAAGTGCCACAGCCTTTGGGAAGACTGACATGGCTTAGAAACAGAATGATGACTATATGCATAATTATGTCTTCTCTGTTTTCTGCAAGATATTTCCTTCTTATTGAAGCAATGTTTGTGTCGGGTTCTACATCATTTTCACAGTCGGAAAATAAACCTCATATAGATATTTATTAAGAACCTAGTTTATACATATCACAGAGCTAGACACCGCAAGGATACGAAGAAAAAAGGAAGGAGATCTTGCACTACTTAGACAAAGCAAATTCTTGGTGCTCATGGATTTAAACATGAAGTCTTTTCCACTATTCATAAGTGAACCCAGAGATATATGAAAAGAGATAACTGGCAATTTTACTGGGGCATAAATATTAGTGCTGTACACTGACAAGTAGGTGCATAAAAAGCTACTTAACAAATGAGTAAAATAAAAATCAGCACAAATCACTGCCTTTCTCTCCCTACTTCAGCCAGCTGCAGTGCACCATGTCTTTGCTGCATTTATTTCTTGTTGTCAATAATATTCAAGGGATCAGTAAAAATAGTTTGTGAACAGTGCTTTTCCAACATAAATGCAAACAAATACATAAATGATAGCCTATCATTAGAGACAAAGATATCAGTGAAAAAATGAAAATATCTAAGAAAGTGATCATTCCAAAGAAATGGAAACTCTAGATACATTTAAAAAGTACATATAGCAAAATCTTGTCACATGCTACAGCATGGATGAGCCTTGAGGACATTGTGCTCAATGAAGTAAACCAGTACAGAGAAAGATATACTGTGTGATTCTGCTTATGTGAGGTGTCTAGAGTGGTCAAGTTTCATGGAAACAGTAGAATGGTGGTTGCTAGGGCCCAGGGCAGGGGGAAAGAAGCTGTTTAATGAATACAGAATTTCAGTCACAAGATGAAAAAGTTCTAAAGATGAGTTTCACCACAATGTGAACACACTTGATGCTACTGAAATGTGCACTTAAACGTGGTTAAGATAGTCAATTTTATGTTACATATCTTTTACCACAAGAAAAGTGCATATAGTGGAGAGTAATTTTGCTCCTTACTGCTCCTGAAATATGTAACAATGTACAAAGGACTCAGGGCTTTTGTATTTCTGCACTCTATCTACCGTACACATAAGTAGGAAAAAAGGACCACATGAGTTATACATATATTCATTACTGTGGAAATTGTGAGAAGATTCACAAGGTTGTAAAAAGCCTCATGGAGAAAGTGGAGCATGAACTGGATGGTGAAAATCATTCAGCAAAGTAGAGGGCAAGGAGAGTGGTCTCATGTAAATGCAGCTTCTGAAGGAGAGCATGTTTGGAGAACTTGAAATAAAGTGACTATAATTAAGGCTCACATAAGGGGATGATAGGCAACAAGACCAAGAGGAAGAGTGGACAGAGATCTTAAAGCGTCCTCCACATTAACTAGGAAATTTGGATGTTAGCCAAAAAAATATGGGAAAATAAAACTCTAGGCCTCAGACTTAGAAGTTCAAAATCTCATGCTTATCATTGTATTGGGGGCTGATAAGCCTCAGGGCAACTGATGCTGGCAGTCTAAATATACAACAGACTGACACAGGATATAAACAAATGAAAACATAAATGAATTTATTTTAAGTGGAAAAAATATTCTATTGCAATTGAACAAATATGCATACACATGAGTGAATTATAAATTAGAATGTGGCTTTCTCAGTATACAAGGGAATGCTATTAGCTTTAAGGCTGAATACATCTTGCAATTTTTTTTCTTGGAATGTTTTATTTCAGTATCAAATTGGATTCTGCTAAACTTTAAAATGGGCTGGGGAGTAATGCTCTTGCATTTTCTATTGTCTGGAAAGCTTCTTTAGAACTGGAATTAGCTTGCAAAGGTATCTGGAGCTCTTGCTTTCTTTGTTGGAGAAATTTTAGTTCAAGTTTAAATTTATTTAACCAATACAGGACTATTAAGTTTTTTCCACTTCTTCTGGAGTCGGTTTGACTACTTCAAAAAGGGTTTGTTCCATTTCATATATTTTTCAAGAATATTTTCAAAGCTTAATACCTAATATCCTATTATCGCATTTGAATTGTTTCACTAGTGGTGGTAATGTCCCATTTTGACTCCCGGTTTGGCTTCTTAGTGCCTTCCTGCTTTGGCTGGGCACTCTCTTGCCCTTGGTCGCATGGATGCTCTCTCTTGATTGCTCTTGCTCGTGTTCTCCCTGCTTGTCTTCCTTCCAGCCCTCCATCCGTCTCTCTTTTTTAATGAACCATATTTTGGCTTAGTTCTTCTCTGTTCATCTTTGTTTCCTATTTCACTAATTTCTACTTTTGCCATTATTTTTTTCTTCTACTTTTTAAGTTTGTGTTATTCTTAAATTATTAAGTTGAACGTCTAGTTTATTAATCTTTAGCATTCTTCCTTTCAAATGTAAGCATTTGAGTTATAAAATCTCTTTGCAACACTCCTTAGGTACTTCCCATTTGTACTTATATGTAGTACTTTTTAAAAACTTAATATTTGTATTTCTCGATTTCTAGGATAAGTCTATGCCCTCTAATTTATTTTTATTCAAAATTAAATTTAAAAATTGTGAATACTTTTCTGTTATTGCCTTTGATTATAACAGAACTGTGGTCAAAGAATTGGCCACAGAAATCCTTTGAATTGCATAAGAGAAATCCTTTGAAATATTGACTGATTTATGACTGAGGAAGGACATACTTTATAAAATATTCATATGTGCTGAAAAGGTTGTGTTACATACATGTTCAGTTAATCAAACAGTCCATCACGATGTTTAAATAATAAACTTACTCAATGATTTATTTTATCTCTAATTTCCCAGAGAGGCAGGTTACAATATCCCATTATAATGGTGAATTATTCAATCTCTCGTCGTTAGGTTAATGTTTGCTGTGTATATTTTAAAGCTACTTATTTTTAGTCTTTCCAAGTTCAGAATTATTATATCTTCTGGGTGAACTGAATCCTTTTGCTTTGCACTGACTCAGTTTATCTCTATTAAATTTTTGCATTAAAGATGACTTTTTTATTATTACAATTACAGCATCAGCATTCTTTTGACTAGTGCACACTTGTTTTTCACTGTTTCATCTTACTATTCAAAACCTTGTCCTCATGATTTAGGTACGCCCTTTTAAAAGACAGAAAGATGAATATTTTTAATTTTTCTGCCAATTTGTGTATTCTAATTGAAGACTGTAGCCGTTTATACCAATTGTGATTACTGCTGCATTTAAATGTTCATTATTTGTGACTTCTATCTTATTTTTTCTATTTTTCCTCATTTCTTCCATTCATTTTGATTGAATTATTTTTGTTTTCTTTCTCTTCCTTCCTTTTTCCAAACACATTTTTCGTTTTATTCATGTATATTTCAGAATAGTATTTCATTGTATGGCTATAAAATAATTGTTTATCCATTCACCTAGTGTTGAACATTTTTGTAGTTTCTAATTTTTGCCAATTAGGGATAAAGTTGGTATAAACATTTGTGTGCAAGTTTTTGAGTAGACATATATTTTTCTTTTTCTTTGGTAAAAATCTAGGAGTAAAATTGTTGGATTGTATGGTAAATCCATGTTTACTTTTACAAGGAATTGCCAAACTTTTTTCAAAGTAGTTGTATCATTTTATTTTACCAACAGCATATGTGAGACTTCCAGGCGCTCTATATCCTCACTAAGACTTAGTATTACCAGTTTTTTAACTTAAATTATTCCAGTGGGTGAATAGAGGTATTCCTTTCATTTTCATTTTCAGTTCACTGATGTTTAA